GAAGAATGTTCCTGGGCCCAATCTTGTCCCAACCACACGTACATAGTTTGAGAGGATGTCCGCGCAAGCTAGTGGTAGTGGCCAACAGAACGAATGCGAGGCAGCAATCCTGAAGAGTCCCGGAATCTACCGGATGTACGCCTCCCTCATCCAACTTGCTCCGATGAAAAGACGACCGGAGGTTGGCGCGGGCGCAGTGGCTGACAAAAGCTCACCAGCCCATCTACGCGCGCACCACATATTATCTGACTTCAGTAAAGATTACTCGGATCACACATTAAGGAGAGTTTTACGAAGGCAACATCGAGGAGAAGCCATTACAACCCGACAGTCACTCCAAAATACTCAACACGCAACTGAAGAGACTGAGAACGCAGTTTCTGACCGGAATATTCGTGTCAGGGATCTTATCGCGCTAGCTCATGTTCTAGGGAGACCCAACCTTGAATATCAATTCTGAATAAGAAGAGAAAGCAGTAGACGCGATCCGGGAGGATGCTGTATCCTGTACAGCACTATTGGCGAAGAGGTTCACAGAAACTGGCATCTGGAGAAGCGCATGTCTGGAGCCGTGATAGCAGTGTCCTGAGCGTGAGAAAGTGCAGCAAGTCGTCACAGTGCCTCCGGCGAGGATACATCTCAGTGTGGTTTGAGGAGGGTCAAACGGAATGGACAGCCGTGACTGGCTGGGAACCAAACTGCCAGTGATGCTCATATGCAAGTATTCGGAGGGGGCGCAGCTTTGCAAAAGGCGTCCGCAGCAGGACTACTATAATCTTTTCAGTAGGGATTAGTTGTATGGCCTCCTAAACGGGACAGGGGAAAAGGAACACCCCGTTCAAATAATAAAGGTGGCCATGCGCATATCTCCGTGAAGGGTAAGTAGTCCTGTGTCCTAACCCTAACATTAGCCTTGACAAAAACTCAGTCCCAATCGTAACCTTATACTAAAACCGAACCCCGCAGTTAACACTGACCCTAGCCTTAATCATAAACGTACCTTACTGCCACCCTCAACCGTAACTTCAGCCATAAACCTAACCATATTCCCACTGGTAGTTTGAGAAGCCCCGCATTCAGGTCCTGTTTTTTTGGGGGGGGGGCATATAAGTCGACCTAACCACCCTCTCCTGTGACTACACATTCATGAAGGTAGCTGACGCAAAAATGGTTGATGCTTCTTGATTGGCTTATATACATCCTTCAGGCATCCGCACCGTAAAAGGGCGTTTTCGGAACCGCAATCCCTGACGGTTCCGGATGCATTGTCGATGGCCTGATTGGTCTTGGAGATCTGATTCACGACTTCGTCGTCAATCGCCCGCGAATTTTTTATTGCTGTGTGTGTGTGACAGGGAAAGAGTTTCATTGACCCCGAGACAGGGTTCGGCGCAGTGAGCATCTGGCGGCGGTTGGTGCATGAACACTGTCTCCTTCATGCTGATGGTCAAGCCAAGCTTGGAACAACGAAAACTTGCACACACCTTTCTGTTGATGAGCAGCCGTAGCAATCTGGCTGTAGTAGAGTCGCTTGGGTAAATCCCCTTCATTCATCCTTACGAGAAGGCCGCTCCAAGCCATTTGTAGTTGTGCTCTATACGCTGACGAGTTCGGTTCGTTCCGGGACCTCCGTGTCGGGTGTCCTCAGCTTCAACAGTCTGCGGATGAAGCTGGGGTGAAACTGGGGTGAAACTGATCCGTTCTGTAAAGTAGTGCGGTCAAGACGACCGCCATCTACATTTAGATTTCCATCTTGAGTCGAAGAGTGTAGTTGTTCCAGGTGGAGACGGCACACGTAGTCACGCTACTACAGTTAATATCACGTACTGTGTGCTGCTAAAGCACCTCCTACTGAAACACGTTTCCTTTTGTATACGACGCTTTAGCTTCATATGCGTTCCTAGTCTGCAATTTCACCCATTAACTGGAAGACAGAGCTTGTTGCACTAACACATAGAGCTTACCAGAGCACGTCATCAGCCCAATATGTGTGTTACGTGTTCAGTGGCTGATCCACAGACTGGGAGTCAGGCGGTGCTGGCCAATGTGGTGTTATTCTCTTCCTCATTAGTACTCTAATATTAGTATTATTACTATCGCTAATAGCATTACTACTATCATTATTTAGTAGCTGTTTTATTATGGTAGTAGGAGTATTATCCTCACTGTATTATTTTGTAGTGGTTTATTGTTTTTGCGTTGTAGTGCGTTACTTACCGGTAGTACTAAGTATGCTTAGCATCAGTATCATTATTAGTATTGGTATGTTATTTCTATCAACAGCATTTTAGTCTTAGTACTTTAACTTATTAGTAATCTCAGTATTATTATTCGTGGTCTGTGTGTTCGACCATCGACTTCGATGAAGGTGACAGTCTCAGGCGTTAGCTTCAAAGTGATAGAGGACGTAGTTAGCGGCTCCGCACTCTTCACCTTCTCCCGGAGCCTCGAAGACTAAACGGGGTCAGGCGTGGGCTTCTGTATCAAATGCAAGCCAATACACCGCT